AAGGCTTATGGTCTTTCGTCAAGCAAGGCCATTTTAGCATTCCAGCATAACGCTTATTATTGCTCTCCTATGTGTATCAACCTTCCAATTTATATCAACAGATGTTGATGAATGTGCCAGCTGTGTACACGACTGCCACGCTTCAGCTTCATGTACTAACACCGTAGGATCCTTCAGCTGTTCGTATAATCTTCCTTACGTAGGAAATGGAAGATCTTGCAGTAAACTCCCATCGGGTAGGTAGACATACGTAGTGAATCTTCTTTTTGTGTAGCAATTATCCTCCGGCAGAAAAGTAGTAACTAACAGCTCGCATTATATACAATTTTTTCTCTGTCTGTGCCGAGAAATTTTTAATACAGCTGCCTGTGAAAACGAGTTCAAATGAAACGAATCCTGCTTTATGAAATAGGCTACGATAAAGACATCTTTACTTTGATAATAAAGAAAAAAGAGTTTGTAACAGTGTAGAGAAAATTAAAAAAAAAAAAATGTAAGAGAGGTTGGTGACTTTGAAGTGCAATGCTGTGGTATAAATGTTTCGCCTTGAAATGAATAAAGTACAGGCCAAGCTTTTACTGTCACGATTTCTGGATAATACACGTGATACGTTGTTTATTTTCCAGGGAAAAACACCGCTAAGAATATTGCCTCGTAAATTAACGTAGAAGTAATATGTTAGATAACAGTTTGTCAATCGAATATTGAGAACACGTCCACCTGTATTTCATGTCCAGTCTACTTGTTTCTTCTTCTTGTTTCGTACTTCACTTAGTTTAAATTGAACTAAATTGCTATCTTTTCTGTTTCTTTTAGAATGTCAAAACTATCAAAGTTTGACGGAGGGAGACAGAAAGATAACATCCGGTAATCAAATCACGATTTGTGACAACGGACTTAATGGCTGGTATCGTTTTGAAGGGGCAGCAGGTACAAAAATGCCTTCTTTATGTCCACCTAGAAACCAATGTAGCACTCACGCATCCGGTTGGCTGAATGGTACACATCCCATGGAGGCTGATGGTCAGGTCACCAGGACAGTTTGCTTCCACTGGGGGTTAGGCTGCTGCAATTGGTCAAGAACCGTCAAAGTGATAAACTGTAGCGGTTACTATGTTTACCATATAACTGGCACACCCGCATGTTCCCTCCGCTACTGCAGCACAGACTGAACCGCTGCTGGTTCTGAGAATCATTAATTATCTAAGGGGTCGTCTTGTTAAAAACTTCAATCGCTCTGTGTATTTGCTTTGGTTGTCTCAAATAATAAGCTTGGTCGGCATCTCTTATATTTAACCTCGTTGCCAGGGCCTATTTGCTTAACTAGGGTCGAGGAAAAAGGCCCTGCGAACGAGGTTGCCTTCACATCCAAAAAAAGGGAGTATTTACTAAAAAAAAATGTCATCATTTATCGTTTGGGAGGTAAAGGATTTTGGGGAGAACCACGTGGTTTTCGGGTGGAACGGATAAGAACGCTAATTAATGTAGCATAATGGGGGGATGGTAGAAAATCAAATGCCAATTATTTCCAAATGAGGGGGTGGGGTAGGGTAGAGGGGACATTAAAAAAATAAAAGAAAGCCTCATTGGGGATTATGGAAATTTTTATTGTGACACAATCGAAATCCTCTAATCTCTTCCGCCCCCCACCGTCTACCCCATAGGTGATGAGATAAATAATGACCACTCCCTAAAGAAGTAACGCCGTTTGTAAATGTTTCCAGAAGCTTTGATGATAAAGAAGGTGACGATGAAGAAGTTGGCCAATGTGAAATACTCCAAAGGCCACACGAAATTTTCTTCTTTGTTTCTAGTTCCGGAAGTTTGGCCGATTTGATGTAGTATTTGCTTGCATAAGGCTTGATACTGATTTTGACTGGGAGAGTTTCACATTCCACACGATAAAACCTTCACATGTAATTGACTGAATAGTGTGTCATGCTGTGTATTTGTGGCAAACAGTCTTATATATCATATGCCCTGTTAAATGTTCTGAAAATAAGCAAAAAAAAAAAAGAAAGCTCGGAAAATGCAGCTGGGAAGATTCACTTTTAAGTCCCCTTGATCAAGTATAGATGGGTTAAAATACAAAATTATCTCGGTTCAAAAATTGACACATCGAAATCAGTCGCTAGACATTTTAATTTACCTAATCATTCTAAGCAACATATGACAATCTACGGTCTTTCCTTACACTTAGGTAGCACGGAAAGCCGTAAAACTCTTGAACAAAAGCTCATCTTTCAAACCGGCAGTCTAAATCCTACAAGGATCAACGAACGCTTTTCATTCCACTAATTTATTCGTGTTTCTCTGGTTGCCATGTTCCCACCAATAACGTAGCTCCATTTTCTGCCTTTAAAAGCACACAACCCACAATTCCTCTATTTGCTCCGACGAAGGGCTAACGCTCGAAACGTCAGCTTTTGTAATCGTTACGGTGGCCAATTTACCATTTCAACTTTGTTGATATATCCAAATTATTTCGTTACCCCCACCGACGCAGCCCCAAACAGTTTCTTTAGAAACTATCAGCCTTTATTCATTTGTATTTTGATTGCTGCGACCACTAACTTTTCTCTTAG